GTGGAACAAGGAAAGAGGCCTCCGGAAGAATGTCGCACCACAGTGGGCAACAGCAGCTTCACCTCAGCCCACAGCCTGGGCCTGCCTGTCACTGGACGTGAGGGCTGGGCAGAAGGGTCTCTCCCCTCCGGACGCCCAACTTCCGTCTCTTGAGGCCTCTCACTGCCCCCTCTGTCATGGTCCTACTTTACTCGCCACTCCCTTCAGGCCTGGGGGACTCTGCCTCAGGGTCCAGCTGTTCCCCGTTGCCCAGCCCTACACCATCTGTCTGGAGAGCAAAGCCCAAGTAGTTGTGTGCCTCGGGCGCAGTGAACCTTCCAGCAGCCTGTTGAGACAGGAGTCAGCATATGGCTCCTCGGTACACCTACTAGGTGGAATAAAGGACACAGATTTGATCTCCAGCTTTCCTCTCCGCATCCTCATATAGGAATTCCCGTAGTTGTGAACAGGACAACAAAATACTGGGCACGCACATGTTCTCCTTTGGCCCCCTGCCTCCTGCGGGTTGTAGCCACTGGCTGCAGTTGAGCTTCCGGCAGGGAAAGCTCACACCCATCATTCTGAACTTTGCCCTATTGAGGATTCCAGACACTTCTTTTGCTCCCCTAATCATATTGTCTCACTTGTCACTGTGATTCATGTCCCAAGATTTGCCTCGATAGCTTGAGTGTTTTAAGCTGGGAAAAGCGGGGAGAGTCTCCCAGGAGAATTCTTGGTCTGTGATCAGTGGGGTCTTCTTCCTTGCCAAGACCTTAACTTATTAATTGGTTTTATAAGGCAAGAGTGAAAGTTAGGACTCCAAGAGACACATGAATCAAGGGTCTATCACCGAAGTCCCTTTTTGTGTTTGACTTGAGACTCTGAGAGCTGAACAGGCTTTCAGGTCTCACCTCAAGTTTCTTTCCTTGAATGTTTCAAATCTAAGCAGTACTGGAGGTACCCTGCCCACTCCAGCTCCCACAGGCTGGTTCCCGCTTCCATCCTGCCTGCAAGGACAACACGATGATAAACAGCTACCACTTTCCCATTAGCTTGTCACCCTGAGACTCTGCCTCAACTTCTCAGTGGGGAGATGATAAAGTAGCAAGTGTAGGAAAATCTTGACACAATGTGAGGTCATGAGTACAATAGCGCCTAACATTTGTATCCCCTTTCCTTGTTAGGACAGAACTATGTTACCTCTCGAGAGTTAAGCGGCCCACATTGGGCAGAGCCCTGCTCCCCTAGTGGCAGGTAACCATGACCACTTTTCCCCGGCGGGGGGGGGGGGGGGGGTGGAATTCTCACCTGGCAACTAAGGTCTAGGCAGGACTGCCCAAGGGTCCCAAGACCTCGTTTCTTCCTCCCCGATCAGAAACAAACAGGTTCAGTTCTTAAGAATAGTGAGTCCTTATAACTGGCCTGTATTCAAGGCAAATTGAAGAAAGGGCTGGTGTGAACCTGGGTTGACAACAGCACAGGACAAGTAAAATGATGACCCTGTCCTGATGACATTGAATCACCAAGGCTGCTGGACTGCTACAATCCAGCAACTCCAAGAATGTCGCCTGAAGTGTGCACTGGTCTCCAGTGTGCGTACTGGGTTTACCTTGGTGGGTTCGTTCAATTTCTGACCTGGAATCCTGGGGTTCAACATTTAATCAACTTTGGCTAGCTGGGGTCTCCACAGACTCTCACGGGGACACTGACACCTTCATTGGCTTTATTTGATAAACACAGTTGTTTGACCCGATACTGGAATTGTCCAGAATTTTTCCTGGGTCAGTGAAGTAGTCCCAACCCTGCACCTGCTGCCCATTAAAACTAAACCGGACACCCAGATATTTCACATTTTGCAGACCTGTCAATGCACAAGAATCCGAGTGGAGCCATTGTGGACTAGGAGAGCAGACTCGTGCTGAGAGGTGGGCTCTCCCACTATGACGATTGGTGTTCTTGGAGGAACAGAAGTAACCTGACACCTCAGAGGGTCACATCTGGACATTGTAACTTTACTTTTCACAGAGCAGGCGTTGCACAGATAACATGCCAGAAAAGGGGGCTGTTTGAATATGGTTATGTCTTAACCAACTTGAGTTATTACCAACTCTTGTATGGGCCTACAAGTTTTAGCACATGACTCATTTGAAACACCTCTTTCCAAAAGTCTTGAAGCACGTATCTGGATTTGAACCCAGTCTACAGCTCCAGCTTTACAGCCGGGCAGCCTGATGGGTGGTCTGCTTACTGGGAACAAATAGCATTGCTAGACTCAGCTGCAGGATTGCCAGTCCATTCTCAAATGCCATCACCCTTGGGGTGGAGGGTTTCCCACGGAGACGGGCATGCCTGCCCTGCCCTATTCCAGAAGGACCCAGTTGACAATTACACAGAAATTTCAAAGGTAGTCTGCCCTGAGCATTTTAGTCTTCTCTCTCCTAAAGGACATTGGGTTTAAGTGAACACTTAGACTGATCGGTCCTTTTCTACATACTCTTCACGGTTCTGCTCTCTAAAGGGCTTGTGGGGACGAAGGCTCCGCTTTTCCCTCTGGGGTATTCCATTTTACTGGGCAGTTTCATTGCCCCAAACTTGAAGTATAAGAAGAAATTTGGGGACGGGGTGGGGGGAGCTTCCATCATTCAGGGTATGATTGAATACTTGTTGAATATTGAATAATCTGCCTATTAATAAAAACATTGAATTCAGATGCATTGTTGGATGTGCCTTGGTATATATATTTTTTATTATGTTAGCACACCGGTTATTAATTTTTAATAGACATTTTTAGAGTTTTAGGTTCACATCAAAATTGAGCAAAAAGTACATATGCCTTGCCCCCTGAACTCACACAGCCCCCCACTGTCAACATCAGTGAATCTACACTGACACATTGCTATCACCCAAAGTCCAGGTAGTTTACATGAAACATACTTTGTATGATTTTAGTCTTTTTTAAGTTTATTGAGACTTGTTCTGTAGCCTAACATGTGGGCCATCCAGGAGAATGTTCCATGTATGCAGGAAAGGAATGTGTATTTTGCTATTGTTGGGTGGAAGGTTCCGTGCATGTCTGTTAGGTCTAGCTGGTGCATTGATCAAGGCCTCCATTTCCTTACTGAGCTTATCACATATATATCCTTAATGTTAAAGAACTCTTACAAATCAAGAAAAGCCCAAACACAACAATAAAAATATGGATAGAAGACAATTCATTTAAAAATGCAAATGAACAATAGACTTAAAGTCCATTTCATTGGCAAAGTGCAAATTTCAAATAAGTTACCACTTCCTTTTGCCAAAGATTTTTAAGTGATTGTATACTCAGTAGATGCCGTACTCAAATCAGTGTAATGTTTCTGGGAAGTAATTTGGTAATATCAAAAGGTTTAAAAGTTCCATACTATTTTACCAAGTAATTCCACTTTACCAAGTAATTCCACTCCTGAAAATATATTCTAGAGACTAGAGAAGAGAAATATGGGCAAAGATTTATGTACAAGAACATTTATTGTAGTAGTAGTAGTAGTAGTAGTAGTAGTAGTAATTAAAATTTGGATGTAAACTGTGTCCAATAACAATAAGATGAACATTATGATAAAATTGTTGTAAAACCAAAATGGAAAATAGTTATTTGAATGATGATTTCAAAGAATTTTTAATAACATAGGAAAATTCTTATAATTAAATTGAGCTCAATTTGTTGAAATATTGGCTATAATAAAAAAACAGAAGAATGTCGGCAAGGGTATGGCGAAACTGAAACCCTCCTACACTGCTGGTGGGGATGGAAAATGGTTCAGCCATTGTGGAAAACAGTTTGGCAGTTCCTCAAAGAGCTAAACATATAATTACCATAAACCCCAACAATTCCACTCCTGGGTATACACCCAAGATAAATACATATATCCACACAGAAACTCCTACACGAATTAATAGCACTTTGATTCATGAAAGCCAAAAGGTGGAAACAGCCAAAATGCCCATCAACAGATGAATGGATAAAAAAATGATATAATGCTACAATGGAATATTACTCAGCCATTAAAAGGGAGGAGGTGCTGACAAATGACACAAGGTGGATGAGTTTCAAAAACACTATGACAAGTGAAAGAAATCAGACAAAAAAGTGAAAGAAATCAGACAAAAAGTCCCATATTTTATTTGCCAGAATAGGCAAATCGATAGAGCAAAAGCAGATTAGTGGTTGCCGGGGTACGGAGGAAGCCATGGTGGGGAATGATGGCTTAAAGGGTACAGGATGTTCTTCTAGAGCGATTTAAAAAAAAAAAAAAAAAGTTTGAAAACTAGAGAGAAGTGATCATTTGCATCACACTGTGAATGCACTAAGTGGCACTGAATTGTTCATACTTTAAAATGGCTAATGGTACGTTATGTGAATCTCTCCTTAAAAAAAAACAGAGAAGTCAGCAGAAGTGAATATGTTGTTTCCCAGCATCCCCTCCCCTCGAGAAAGAGAGCCAGCCAGCACGCTAAACGCCGAGCCAAGAAAACTGCCCAAGTTAACGCTCTCGGACACAATGGTAGCATTTGCAGCAACAGAATGAGGTTAAACCAAGAAATTGGCGGGAAGACGTCAACCACTTGCGTTGTGGGTGGGCGCAAGGGTCAAAGCGGTGCTGTGCTCAATGACAGCAGAGACGTCGGATTTAAACACCAGCCTGAGAGTACCCATAAAGTGTCGGAGCTGCGAATGGGCCTGAAACCATGCCCCGACCTGAATTTGCGCAGGGAGACTGACTCCAGGTAGCACAGGCCGCAGAGCGGGGAATGGCCCAGGTCTCCCCGCACGCCCGCCCCGCCAGACCACCAAGCAAGGCTTCACCCGGGACCGGGGTATTAGGTTTGTTTCTAAGGCCCAGGAACTTCTGGGGGGGCAAAGGAGTGGAGGCTGACATTCCAGGCCCCTGGAAAGAGGCGCGAAGGCGTGACGGGGTAGGGGCAGGGGCGGCGGAGTGGGCTCGGCCCGGCTCAGGGCCCGGAACCGCCGGGTTTGTGTGCTGGCCGACCGGGCGCCGCCGGCACGCCGCTAGCAGCTCGGTGGTTCGGCCTTCTCATGCTCCAGCCAGAACGAACAGATCCTGGCCAAACGGTGGTTAACTGACCGAATGAATGTCCTTCACGTCGGGAGAGCAGTAGGATTTTATTGGCGCCCCCCGAGACACCCAAGGGAAAATTAGAGCAAATAACGAAAGTAAACCCTCGGCTTTGCAAACGCGGCTTGCGCCTTGCAACTGCGGAGCACGCTGCGTCCCACTGCCCAGCAGCCCGAGGTTGCGGGCGGGATCTCAAATTGCGTCGGCAATCCGATAAAAGCCACGGGGGGTGAGGAGGTGCCAGGTTTTTTGTTTTGTTTTGTAAAAAGCAGGGAAATGGAAGGGAAGTGTATTGCGCATTTCCTTCGTCCAGAGTTGAGAAGTGGGTCCTTTGCTCGCACTTCTGTTTCCGGCTTCCTTTGTTCTGTGCGGGGGGCTCGGCGGGGCGAGCTCCTCTATAAAGTGTTGGGGTGGGGCAGCTTTCCTTAAAACCCTTTAGATTCTGTCAGTGATGCGGCCTTGGTAAGCATTAGGGAGGAACTGGCAGGTGTTGGGGACAGCGGAGCCTTCGATAGCTCAGTTGGTAGAGCGGAGGACTGTAGTGGAGTGAGCTGCGGCAATCCTTAGGTCGCTGGTTCGATTCCGGCTCGAGGGACTTCGTGCGATCTTTTTAGCCTCCGCTTAATTCAATTATCCCGTAGGGAGAAAGTTTCACTCAGACGCCCGCTGTGCATTTGCAGGAGCACTGCAGCTCTTTGGTAAAACAAATGTGCGGTACGTAGTCAGGATCCAATCCCTCGCTCTTGTGGGTTAGATGCGAAGATATGTATTACTATTACTTACGTGTGATTATTATATGCCTGCTTTAAAAAATCTTGCCCATGTCCCCCACCGTACTCTGCTGTATAAACGTCTTGAACTACGGTCGGTCCTCGGGTCAGCGGCCAGCCTAGAACAGCCTGTAAGGCAAAGGGAAGAGAGCTGGCAGTAAGCGGGGGATTAGCTCAAATGGTAGAGCGCTCGCTTAGCATGCGAGAGGTAGCGGGATCGATGCCCGCATCCTCCACTCGGGCTTTTCTCTTTTCTTTTTTTTTGCCCCGTGCATCAGAGGATCTCTTAATAGCGGGAGATCCGCTGACTCAGGAAGGTGTTTTGTAATACACAGAGGAGTACGGTAAGTAATGATTAGCTTCGCACATTGTCCTTTTATTTTGCAGGTGAGTCTTTTCCAGTTTATTTCCTGGTCACTTTGCGTTTTCCTCATCTTGACCGGCAGGCCGTTAACGGTCTTCTGAGAAGATGCGGTGTAACCCTCCGGCCCAACCTGCCGGCCGAGCCCCCAAACGCCACTGGCTCAGGTACCAGCTAACGTGCGAGGGAACCCCGGCGTGCTGACCAATGGCAGCGAGCCTTACTGGGCGGGTAGCCAGCTGTACCCGCGGCCAATAGGCGAGAGACTTCTTGTTTCCTGGCAGAGCGGGGTCCCGGCACCGCGGCGCTCGGGTTTTGTTTGGGTCCTGGGTGGAGGGCCCGGGTGCCGGGGCACGAGGTGGCGCCTCGCTAGCGGGAGAGGGAGCGGGATCGCCGGCCCCGAGAGAGGTGAGGGGCGCTGGGTGGAGCGCGGGCCCCGCCGGCCCCGGCCCCGCCCCCTTGTCAGCCCCTTTCAGCCCGGAGTCCCTCTGGAATGCCGCCCCGCCCCCCCTCCCGGCCCGGGCCTCCCCGGCCCCACCCCCACGCCCGTGGCCGCACCTCTGACCCCCCAGTCCCTCCTCGAGTGTGAGTTTGTCTCGCCCCTTCATGCCTCCGAACCCCACCCTGCCCTGGGCGAGCTCGGTCAGTGTGAGGCGAGGGTCTGTCGGAGTCGAGGGTCGAGAAGCCACCCCTTGCCCCCAAGTGGGTGTCTACCAGCCACTTTTTTAGGGGTGCTCAGGATACCCATCCCTCACCCACAACTACTGCCAGCGTAGCTTTTTCAGGGACTCCAGTGCTTTGCAGGGCGGGAGGGGGCTGCAGACAAACCCATGCCCTAACTGGAATTGAGCTACTGTCTCCAGGTGAGCAGGTGGCTACTGCCCAGTTTCTTTTGTCTTGGCAAAGGCCGCAGTTCTCTAGTTTTCTTTCATAATAGGCATAAGGTAGTAACAAAAAAAAGTAAGACCCAGCCCTTCCAGGGCTCAGGGGAGCGACCGACTGAATGCCTGTGAGGACAGAGGAGGGAAGAGAAGCAGCTGCCCGTTTAAACTTGGAACTTGGTTCTCTCCGCTCTGCTGGAGAGGGGGAAGCCAATCCAGGAACCAGAGATCCAGAAAGGCCACCTCTCAAGATGGCCATGTGTTGTGGTGGGTTTATCTGGGCTAGGTGTGGGAAATCTGACTTCTCTAATGTTATTCTCTAACCTTTGGGCTGCAGAAAAGTTTAGAATCTAGCATTTCTCAACATAGTTAAGCCATTGAGTACTTCATTTTGGAATAGCCAAGCTGTTGTAAAATGGGGTCGTTTTAGGTCAGTTATAAACCCTTAGTGTGGGGACAGAATACTGCTTTCTCTTAGTATTTGCCAGAAAGCCACTTCTACCTTTTCTGAGGTGGAAAGAGCCTGTTGCTTCTTAGGGCACTCCCTAAGAATAGCTTTCATTTATCAGGAGATACCCAAAAAACTTGGTTTTCATTTTTCTTCCTCTCCTTCCTACGCTCCCCACCCCCAATTTTTCCCCAGCTCTCAGGGCCAGAGTGGGCAGGAGGATGCTTTCCCAGCCTCACCATGGAGCTGCGCTGTGGGGGCTTGTTGTTCAGTTCTCGCTTTGATTCAGGGAACCTAGCCCACGTGGAGAAGGTGGAATCTGTGTCTAGCGATGGGGAAGGAGGAGCAGGTGGGGCATCAGCCCCCATCAGCAGCATTGCCTCTTCCCCTGACTACGAGTTCAACGTGTGGACCCGACCCGACTGTGCCGAAACAGAATTTGAAAATGGGAACAGGTAAGAGGAAAGAAGTGGAGGGCGGAAGAAGGAGAAGAGAGGAGATGTCCGTGTCCCCAAATCCCTGCTCGGTCCGCTCTCTGACTTACAGTTCACTACCCTTCCTCTCTCCTTGCCTCCTCCCTACCGAATAGGCCTTTCCCAATTTCGCTTGCTCCAGCTGTCCCACATACGCTCCCTCCAACCCTCAGTATCCAGTGACCTGTTTCTCCTCTGGCCTGCAGGTCATGGTTCTACTTCAGTGTCCGGGGAGGAACTCCAGGCAAACTCATCAAGATCAACATTATGAACATGAATAAGCAAAGCAAGCTATATTCCCAGGGCATGGCCCCCTTTGTGCGCACACTGCCCACCCGGCCGCGCTGGGAACGCATTCGAGATCGGCCCACGTTTGAGGTAAGTTCTCCATGAGGAGAAAGACAGACTGGGGTACTAAAAGTAGAGGAGGGGCAGGAAAGAGGAGTTCGCCTCAATACGGAGTACCAGGCAGGCGGCACACCCGGTTTTGGTATCCGCTTTCCCTCCAGTGCTAGCTGGAGTCCAAGATAAGCCCCTGCCTCAGGAAGCCTAGAAGGAGCCGACTGTCCTACGGAAAGTCCCAGAGGGAGGGAAGTTGGTCACTGTGCTGAGGGTGTAGGGTCAGTTCCTGGTGATCCCAGTAGGATCTTAGTTCTCACACCAGTGGCCCCCCCTCTTCCTCCTCAGATGACAGAGACGCAGTTTGTGTTATCCTTTGTTCACCGTTTCGTGGAGGGCCGTGGGGCCACTACCTTCTTCGCCTTCTGCTACCCCTTCTCCTACAGTGACTGCCAGGATTTGCTAAACCAGCTAGACCAGCGCTTTCTGGAGAACCACCCTACCCATAGCAGGTGCCGACCCCATCCTTACTCCTGCCACACAGTCCCGGACCAGACAGCCCCTCTGCTACTTCTGGAACTTGCCCCAGGAGCCCTGAACCATAAATGTCACCAGTTCTTTTTTCTGTACAGAATGTGGGACTTTGGGTACCTTTGACAAATATGTGTATGACCTTGATCTCACTGTACCACCACCTACATTCCACTCAACCGCCTGCCCATTTCAAGCCTCTTAATATCCCAGCTCCCATCAGGTATCCAGAACTTAGCACTGCCATTGCCCAGCGCACCTTTTTTTCTGTCCAACAGAGGGCAACCGTGTACACAAAGTCATCTATCCTAGGGAGCCATAAACTGGGGAGAAAACAGTAAGTTCACCCTGTCCTGTACTCTGCATCCTAGCAGTGCAGACCACCCAAATCCTCAGCCTCATTTAACATTGTGAGGGACTATAAGGTCCCAAAGGTTAAGGTAAAAGACCAGATCCTACAAATCCTAGGCTGGTGATGAGGCTCACCTCTTGTTAGGACTTTAGGGGATTCCCCTGGCTTAATGATTTTTGTCCCCACAGTCCCCTGGATACCATCTACTACCACCGGGAGATCCTTTGCTATTCTCTGGATGGACTTCGTGTAGATCTGCTAACCATCACTTCCTGCCATGGGCTTCAAGAAGATCGAGAGCCCCGTCTAGAGCAGCTATTTCCTGATACCGGCACCCCCCGACCATTCTGTTTCACAGGCAAGAGGGTGAGTGGGAATATGGCCGAAAGATAGTACCTGGGCCTTTCCTTAGTCCCAGGCCCTGCTGACAGCTTAAGGCCACGTTCTCTCTGAGCATCCTGGCCACCGCCTTAGCCTGCACTGGGAGGCAAGCGTGGCTGCTCCCACTCCACTTGCAGACTCAGCCAGCTGGAAATCCAGTGGCTACTCCTGCCCACCCCCCGCCTCATATCCTGTTAGAGTGGACCTATAGCGTGACTGGCCTAATGACCGCTCTCCTCTCCACCTCAGATATTCTTCTTAAGCAGTAGGGTACACCCGGGGGAGACTCCATCTAGTTTTGTCTTCAATGGCTTTCTGGACTTCATCCTTCGACCTGATGACCCCCGGGCCCAAACCCTGCGTCGCCTCTTTGTCTTTAAGCTGATTCCCATGTTGAACCCCGATGGTGTGGTCCGGGGCCACTACCGGTAAGAAGCCTCCCCAGCCTGTGAGGATTGCTCCCAGTCCCCCTCGTGTCCTCCATCTCAGTTAGACACTATCAGTCTCTCCTTTAACTTCTCCTGTATAACAGTCCTCTTGCACCCGAACAAGGGCAAGCCCATCTCCTTGTCCAGTGACCAGAGAAGGTGGCACATCTTGTGGCACTCTCTGGAAGGAGTAGTTAGAATAACTGCAGGTTCCACTGGGTGCAGGAAGCTGTGCTTAGGTCTGTGGTAGGGGTGACAGAAGATCAGGGAGAGGGCCTGTCCTCAATGCTCGCCTTCCTTATGCAGCCTGAGCCTCTCATTTTGTAAGTCCGTCTCCCTTTCATCCACACTCACGTCTCCCCCACTGGCCCAGCCCTCTTGAGCCTGCTTCAGTCCCTGTCCTCCTACAGCACAGACTCACGTGGAGTGAATCTGAACCGTCAGTACCTGAGGCCTGACGCGGCCCTGCACCCAGCCATCTACGGGGCCAAAGCCGTGCTTCTCTACCACCACGTGCACTCCCGTCTGAACTCCCAGAGTCCCTCTGAGCACCAGCACAGTCCCCGGCTCCCTCCAGATGCTCCCCTTTCCGACCTCGAGAAAGCCAACAATCTCCAAAATGAAGCTCACCTCGGGCATGTATCTGACGAGGACAACCCTGAAGCCTGGACGCAGACCAAGCCAGCAGAACAGAAGCCCAGCGGTGTGTGGATTATGCCCCAACAGTCCGCTGAGGCTGAGCAGCCAGCCCCCGACACCATCCCCCCTAAAGAGAGTGGTGTCGCTTACTACGTGGACTTGCATGGACATGCTTCCAAAAGGGGCTGCTTCATGTATGGCAACAGCTTCAGTGACGAGAGCACCCAGGTAGGGAGCCCCGGGGTGTCATGGGAGTGTGGGGGCTGTGGCAGGTCAGGAGATAAAGCTTAGGCCACAGACAGAGGGAGGGTGGCCTTTTGGCCGGAAGGCCTGTGGCTGCGAGAGATAGTCTACCTCCAGACAAACTTCAAAGAGTCAAGAAGGGTTGGCACTGGGGCTTTGTCTCGGTCATTACATCATGACCTTTGAACGAAGGTCTTTATTGTAGTTTGGGAATCCAGGGGGAAAGGACAAGTTTGCATTATTGGAGAGAAGAAGCTAAGAGCTTAAAAAGAGGCGGATTTGTACCTTTCCAACACCTGGAAATCATATCAGGCATACGGTGAGAATTCCAGAATGCTGCCTACTGCTGATGGTTGTAATGGTATCTGCCGTGGGTTTAGTCCCACAGCCCCGTTTGCCATCTCTTCCTTGCCCGCCCGTTCCTCCCTTCTGTCTGTCTCTCCTGAGTTGCCTTTTCCCTCCCCCAAACAGGTGGAAAATATGCTGTATCCAAAGCTCATCTCCTTGAACTCCGCACACTTCGACTTCCAGGGCTGCAATTTCTCGGAGAAGAACATGTACGCCCGAGACCGCAGGGACGGCCAGTCGAAGGAGGGAAGCGGTCGGGTTGCAATCTACAAAGCCTCAGGGATAATCCACAGGTTGGCTAGAAACTGGGGCGTAGCTGACGAAGTACCTTCAGGAAACCACCACCCAGTCTAGGCTGTCTGAGGAGCAGGGGACAGCCCAAGCCTTCTCTAAAGACAGGCTTATCATTAGCATCACTGTCTTTGGTCCAGGACTCTGTCTTTTGGGGACTTCCTGGGTATGCCAGACTGTGCCGAGGCTAGGTCTTATTAGCACTTTGTTCCAAGTGATTAGTTCTTAGACCACCGAGGCTGTCCCCCATGGTTCTGTCCTGATTCTGTCCAGGCAGGACACTGATAAAGGTCTCTGTGTCTTAGCTACACACTGGAATGCAACTACAACACTGGGCGCTCAGTGAACAGCATCCCTGCCGCCTGCCATGACAACGGGCGTGCCAGCCCCCCTCCCCCGCCAGCCTTCCCCTCCAGATACACTGTGGAGCTGTTCGAGCAGGTATGGAGGCACGGGGTACGTGGGGCAAGGGGGAACCTCCAAATCTAGAAGGGCCTTCGCTCATGCGGCCTGACTCAGGTCCCTTGAAGAGAGGCTCACCACTGTCACCATCTCACCCGGGAGTTCTATTCCTCAGCTCACATCAGGGGCAGGCCTTGACTGTCATGGTATTGAGAGGGTGAACAGGCGCTATTTCTAACCCCGTACCACGGAGACTCCCCGGCACATCTGAGTCAGGGTCTTTGCCTCTGAGCTCATCTTCCTCCTCCTGCTGGGTTTATTCCCGCCTGGGCTTGAAAGCATCGCCTCTACATACACTGGTCTTGATGACCTCTGGGCCCCTAGGGCACACAAGAGAAGTAGAAAGAGCTAGCAGGTTATTGAAGAGCTCGAGGCGCCTTCTGCTAGAATTCCTTCCTGGTGCCAGCCAGAAAGTACACCTGCTCTTGCCCATAAAGGATGCGGGCCCCCAACTGAGCAACGGTCTAGGAAACAGCTTTAAATCTGCTGAGATAAACAGCCCTGGCACAAAATTTGGGGCACCCACTGAGAAAATGTGAGGCCTGGCCTCCCCTGCCACTGTGCTCTGCAGGGTACCCCAACACAGCAGCCTGGGTTGGAAGTCCCAGATGCTGAGCCAAATTGGGCTACCCCGCAGGTGGGACGAGCTATGGCCATTGCAGCTCTGGACATGGCAGAATGCAATCCATGGCCCCGGATTGTACTATCAGAGCACAGCAGCCTCACGAACCTCCGCGCCTGGATGCTAAAACATGTGCGCAGCAGCCGAGGCCTGAGCAGCATTGTGAACGTGGGTGTCAACAAGAAGAGAGGCTCTCGAACTCCACCCAAAAGTAACAGGTAAGACCCACAGGGTGGAGAGAGGAAACGGTAGGAAAGTGGAACAGGACTCTAGAGCAGGAAGTGCCAAGGAATTTGTGTTCCTTCCCTACTCAGAAGGATCACATGGTGGATATTTTCAGAGTAAATTAAAATTGGTAAGATTAATGCATTTTTTGGAAATGGGGTCCTCTTCCCTTTTACCTGGAGCTATATACTTCCTAGGCATCTGAAAACCAGGCCAGGGGATTCCCTACTCAGAGCCCTGCACAAAATTAAATATAATTGCAGTGGTGGTGGGAGCAAGGTCTTGGCTTCCAGTGGTTGGGAACAACGCAGGGGTCCAAGGGCCAGCACGAGGGAATAAGCGGGGAATTCACTGAGGGTTAAAGCTGCCAGAGACAGCCCTATAGCTCTTCGGGTGCTTTCCGCGAGAGCAGCTGTGTGTGAGCGTAGGCATTCCAAGATCAGCCGGTATGCCCCGGGTCGGACACCTCGTCCGTAGATGCAAACTCCTCCCTTCTCTCTTGCAACAAGTCCGTATGCCTGTACCCCTGGCGCTGCTTTACTGAGCATCAGACCCTGGGGACAGCCTTGGGACACAGCCTCCCTGGCCCGGGGTTAACCGGCCTCTGCTTTTTTGCAGCGGCTTGCCTGCTTCCTGCTCTGAAAATCCCTTGAGCCGGGCGCGCAGCTTTAGCACTGGCACGAGTGCTGGGGGCAGCGGCAGCAGCCAGCAGAACTCCCCACAGATGAAGAACTCCCCCAGCTTTCCTTTTCACGGCAGCCGGCCTACTGGGCTGCCAGGCCTGGGCTCTAGCACTCCAAAGGGCAGCCACCGGGTGCTGGGCCCTGTCAGAGGTAAGCCGGTCTGGGAGCCCCTGCAACAGCTGTTCAGTTGTTTGGGGCATTGCTGGGGGAAGTGAGAGCTTGAAGATACACACTTGGCTGGGACCAAGGGGTCAATCAATAAAATTAGTTTATAGCAGCATCTGCAGCCTCTCCTGCGACCTTGGTGTTCCCTGCGCCACGAGCTCCAGAGCAGTAGTGTGTGTGGCCCAGGCAGGGGACCTGGGCACCGGGGCTTCAGCACATGCTGGGAAGCAGGGGGCTTTCCAAGGCCAAAACCCGAGCTGAAGCAGGGCCACACTGAAGTGCGGAGGCTCCGCAGCAGGGCCGGCGTCAGTCTGTCTTGTCGGGAGCAGTGTAAGGAAATGTCCTCACGACGCAAGCTGCAGCACCGTAGAGCCGGAGACCCCTAGCCGAGGTCTCTGTGGGATGACACTGTCCCTGGCTTCAGAGCCTGTTCAGAAAGTGGTATCAGAAGGATTCCAACTCTTACAACGAAAAATGGAAGAACTACAGACAGCTTCTGGTTGAGGCTTACTAAGCAGCAGTCTGGCCTCTTCCGGCAGTGGCCACGGCTGCTCAACGGGGCATCAGTACCCCTAGGCTGGGCTTGAGGAGACCCTGCCTGATGAGATTCTGGGTTCAAATGTGTAACAGAAACAGATGGGCCTTTAGGGAAAAAGAAGAGGCGGGCTATGGAGCCATTCCTTGGGAGTGACTCAGACTTCAGTGGGGAGAGACTGCTGTGGTACCACTTCTAGAAATACACTAACCCCCAGATCAGTATTGTTTGTGGCCTCGGGGCTGGAGAAATCCTGCCAGAGCATGGAGGCTTGTTAGCTGGAGCTAAGAGTTCTGCGGGTCTTCAGGCTGCACTCGTCCTGCTTAGCGCTTCCCCGGGACAGACCAGAAGCTCGCACTGGGCTGTGGGAATCTGCCTGCACTGGGTAGAGCAGCACAAGGGAGACAGCAGCTTTGACCAGTAGGACCTTTTCTCCCTGATAAGCAACGCACTTACCCTGCGTACGTTCCAAGCCCCATTCTTTGGGATTCTCCCATCACTGGGACAGGATGCTTTTGTATACTGTGTTTGAAGGACAGTATTAAAGTAATACTAACGCTGTGTATTTAAATAGCATTAAACAGTGAACAAAACAGAATCGCATATACATTTCATTTGATCCTCACAGGGACCTGTGGGGTGGATGGTGTTTCCATTTCTCTGGTGAAAAAACGGAGGCTGTGGAAGGGGGACTTGTCCAGGATCTCACAGCTATTCGTGGTAGCGTTATTCAAGCTTCTTACTATTCAAACTTCCTCTAATTTCTTTTCCCTTTTTTTCTTTACTTTTCTTTCTCTCTCTCTTTTTCTTTCTCTCTTTCTTTCTTGTCAGCCTCTCATACCTCTTCACTCATAGTTCCTGGGAAGGAATGTCAGCGTCCTAGATCCCCCTTCCCTGACTACAAAAGAGAAATAGGAAAGAGTCCTCTCTAGGTCCATGTCCTCCCTGGAGGATTCTAGGCAGTTTCAAATCAGTATTTTACTATCATCCCCACCTCCACCCTAATGCAGAGTGCTGTATGAAGCCCCTTCAGTGAGGGACATGTATTCTGTGTTTGCTACTTCCCCCAGATAATTAAGAGAAAATGTGCATATTCAGTACTAAGGATTTCCCTACAGGAAACAGACCTAAAACAGTCAGTCAACAGAACATAAAAAGCACACACTCATTATAAACACAGGGGACTTGGGGAGCCACTGTCGTAGATAAACTCAAGAGTAATTAGCCAAAGAATGCTCAGTTGAGAAATGGTTTTGAAGAATGGATGCTAGTATATGGCCTGATAAAGACATTCCAGAGATGAGAATGGTAGCCAGGACCAGCACTGCTGCGTAGAGAGGACAAGAAGCAAACGCACCCAGCTGGCTCAAAGGGCCAAGCCCTTCGGCACCGAAATTAGGTGAAGAGAGGCAGGAGGAAGAAGTTGAAATGTCTTGAAAACAAAGATTATGAGTTAACTGAGACACAGCAACGATTGTGTGCTCCAGAGAATGATGAGAACAAAACACATATGGAAGAGCAGCCTGTGAACTGTGTGGATTGGGCAGGCAGGGGGAGGGGAATCCTCGCTGTAGTTTATCCATGAGATGGCTAATGGCTGTACCAGGGTCCAGGAGGGAGAGATGACTATATGTATCAGAAATAGAGGTGGCAGGGTTCAGTGATGGTGGAAGAAGGGCAAACTAAGAGCTTCAAGGCTATCAGCCAAAGGAAAGAGTCATGGTGATATTAAGACATTGTTTGGGAGAAAAGGTGTTGAGTTTATTTATTCTAGATATGCCTGGATGTCGTGGGCTAACTATATGGAGGTGTCCTGCAGGCAGAAAAAAGAGCCAGCCTGTAGAAAAGGTGACAACAAGGTTGGATCTAGGCGTCATCCACACATGCAGGTAAAACAAGTGAGAATCGATGTCCCCCCAGGGGAATGAACTCAAAGCAGAAAAAAAGAGTAAGAGACACCTGGGGACTTGGGTCAATATTTGTAAGACCTGAGAAACTATGTGTCTAAAGTCATAGAAGGTTGAGAAGGGGGTTACTAATGAGACCAAACAGGAATACTCTAAGGAGGTGAAAAGGTCAGAGTGCTGGAATCTTGACTCCAGTGCTACAATTTTTGCTGCTTCATCTCCTAAAATCCCTGATAGGACTCCAGGATAGGAGACTAGGCCTGGCTTAGGATAGGGACCTGCAGTGCAAACTGTGGTATCTGGACTGGGCTTCTTCAGCCAACCCTTGGAGAAACAACTTTGTCCAGTTGATCTGGCCTGTAGCTTTGTGCTATTTCCTGGCTCCACACATCTGGCTCTTTGGCCCCTGCCACATCCAGGCATACTCTGTCTTCCAAGATAGGAAGAACACAACTCCCATATCTCTGAGACCGAACTATAAAGCAGCTATACTGGCCAAACCCAAAACTGAGACTGTGATTTAACAAAGGATTTTTTTCTGACTTGGAAATTTATGAGAAATTTTCCACTAATGTATAAAAGTCATATCACACTTAACTATACATTTAATTTACAATTACCCTTTATTGGCTAAAACACAGCATGAGATTGTGCTATCCAGAAAACTTCAGAAGAGATCTAGGCAGCCAGCCAGAAGCTTAAAGCAGAGGTTCAGGGAACTAGTCTGGCAGGTTCCATCCTCAAGGCTGGAGGGTGGCATTTTAGAAGGCCAACGTGTCAGGCAACTCGGGGATGAACAGGAATGTCCCTGGGACAGAAGGCTGCAAGAGCCTCCAAGGAAGCCCTGACCCCCACCAACCTCTGACCGCAGCGCCAGCTAGCTTACCTAGTTCCCCCAGCTGCAAAGGAGGTCCTGAGCAGCACCTTCCCTGCTCTGCGGGCAAGCTCCAATCCAGCAGGCGCAGAAGCGCTCGCCGAGCCGAGGAAGGCGAGGCCACGGGAATAGCTAGCTAGTCCACGACTGAGTCAGGAAAGCTGAAAGCCTGCAAGATACTGGTGCAGAAGGAGGTGCAAGCAGAGCTCGAAGGCAGGCCTGCTGGGGAGAGAGTGGATAAGTCAACTGGCTTTTCCGGTCAGTCCTGCAGGGCACAGGACTAAGGTGAGGCCAGCGGGGCACCCAGGACTCAGGGTCAGGCGAAGGCCTTCTCACATGGTGCACCCTAGGTGCTTCCTCCTAGTCCTGGCCCTGGATCCAGGCAAGTCCCTCTCAAGAACAACCTGGCCCATCTGGCAGGCCCCTGGGGTAAAAGAGGCAAGGTCAAAGTGGAGGCGGTCAGCTGGCACCCTTCCGCTGCCTAGTCCTCCCTCCCAGCTCCGGCCCTTCTGCCTGCGGCTACTAGAATTCTTTCCTGGCCTCTGCTGCGCCGTGGCTCAGCAGACGGGCGGTCCTGGCAGAGCAGGCCAAGCCCCACGGCAAGTGGAGGCGCCTCTGACAAGCGAGTCAGAGGACAGAAAGAACGCCTCCAGCACCATCCTGCTTCTACTTTTTCTGCTGCAAACAAGTTTCGTGGTGAAGGGCAGATGAAAGCTATTCTGAGGGCAGGACGTCTCCTGACACATCCATTTATTCCCTTAGCGCCTAGCACTGATTAAATGACCAGCAAATAACGTGTTGAAGGAATAAAAGGCAGGAAGTGGGAAGCCCAATAAAAGCTGGTCTCACCCTCCCCCACCTCGCTCCAGAGGGCATCAGTGAGGCCCACGGCCGTGCCAGTGACTCAGTCAGATCTAGGGCGCTACACGGAGGGGCAGTTCCAAAGAGGTCTCGGGGGGGGGGGGGGCATGATGCCAGACCTCGAAGCGGTGAGACCTAACTCCTGCACTGGGGAGGGCAGTCCACCTCTATCTCAGACCGTGCCCCAGGGTTATCCTCCCACTCCCAAAATGGAATTTCTGGCTGATTACCATAAGAATACAGTCTCACAACCTCTGGAAGCAAAGCTGATTCACGTATCACTCTGCACTAAGCCTTAAGCCACTGACTCTAGAGTTTAGAACCAAGAAGTATTTGGGGCTCCTCCCTTAAATCGTCTCAGTGGGGACTTAGAAGGCCTGATTATACCAGGGGCCAGAAGTCAAAACATGAGAAATTGGGTTGTGCGCTCACACTGCCAAGTCCAGAGGCAGGCCTGGCCAGGTTTTAAGACAGTCTGAGTTAAAATGCAATCTTTAAATGTTTTATCCTTTCCATGTTAGGCCTCTCTCCTAAACCAGACTGGTCTCCCATCCTTAAACTCTCATTAAGGGCAGGATTCTGGAGTTGTATCCGTAATGTCCTTCCCAGAACACCTACATTCACACTGATAGTTTTTACACCAAATGCCTGTTTTACTTCATACCTTCCGGAGTGTTTCTCCGTTCTTGCTACAACCTACAAATGTCCCAAAGGTTTTCATTTGCTTTCTTACCTGCTCTTTCTTACCTTTCCTGGGATAGGTGAGGCTTCATCCTTTAAATGATTTCAGCATACCCCTGTATATAGGTATTCCTCAGATCCATCCTTCATCAAGTTCAGGTTCATTTCTGCCTATTATGCACTGTCATTTGGACATCATCCTGATACCGTTGTTTTACTGAAAAATTACCCAGGTCTGGGTTCTGCAGTATTTCTTAAGTCATTGGTGGTGGGTAACACTTCAGGTTATTTGACCGTGGCCATGAGTCTCTGACTTCTGCTGTCTTTCACTGCTGTGTCACCTCTTATTAGCACCCTACGGTCTGTTGTTGTTTATTATTGACGCATAGTTGACAGGTCTGGTAATTTTTGACTCTTGGCTATAGCTGGTACCCAGCCTCTCAACAAACTTCTCAAAGCTAAAGTAGTTTCTGTCCTGAAATCTCTCCCTTTTTTCTATTCCTTATTCACATAAGTATCAGTTTTTAAAAATCTGGTTTGGGACTTCCAAAGGTAGCCTTGTCACTGCTAGCTACTGCTGAGTATAGCTGGACAAGTTATTGTCACCTACATCCTGAATTAGATGTGTTTTCCATCTAATACGCGTTGCTTTGTCAGGGGCCAACTGGCATCCTGGGACCGCCACTGAATTCAGCTCCATGAAGGTTAATAGCCCATTTGGTCTGAGAGCATTTTGGCACCTCCTGTCCCTCTGTGATGTGGAAGGACCTGCCAAACCCAAAAGCCTCCCTACCCAATCCAGCCACATCTGCTCTCACAACTTGTAGCAGTGACGCTTTAACCACAAGGAGTGGACCAGAGAGAGCTGCCACACAGGGCATAAGCCTGTGTCCTTAGGCTCAGAGAGATTACTGAGGCAGCCCATGTCTATAGTGGGTGTCTGCTATTCAGGAAAACGAAACCTTTACTAAAGTCTCTGGTTTTCTAGGCAGAATTTTGTAGGCATTGGGATATGTAGACTGGAAAAGACAAAGTCTCTATCCTCAAGAGATTCAAGTTTCAAGTAGAACACTAGTTAAGATTTATTGAGTACTGTGTGCCAGGCACTATCATAAGTACTTTACATGTACTAACTTATTTCATTAAGGAGACAAAACCCATAAACAATTACTAGCCAGGTGAACAAAAGACAACGAAGGGGAACAGTTAATTCTACCTGTGATGGTCAAGGAGGCTTCACCGAGATGACATTTGAGATGGGGCTTGTAAAGTTTGACTAGAAGAGGAAACAGACGCTGCAGAAGAACCAGAGGGCTAGCAGCCGCAGGGGCAACAGTAAAGGGTATGAAGGGTCAAGTCAGCACCCTACGAAGGGTGGGTAGCCTGGAACCACAGCGGGTGGAGCTCTGAAGGCCATGTTGAAAGGTTGAGACTTTATCCTTTAAAAGACCTTCAGTATCTCCCCCTGGCCTGAACCAAATAATTTTTTGATCAGGTCTAGGCTTTGGAATAACTTCTGGCGCCAGTGTGAAAGACCGCTTGTTAAAAGGGAAGGGATTCAAGCTAGGGCAACCAGCAGGGCGTTTTTTTGTTTTTGTTTTTGTTTTTCCCAAAAGCCTGATCAGAGAGACAAAGACCTGTATCTGGACATGGGCCAAGGCAAGGGAGAATGAAGAAGGAATCCCAGTGAAGGCAGCGGCAGTGTTTGCCAGATTTGGTTAAACACGAATCAAAATGTAAGCAAGGAGTCAAAAGATGAAACAAGGTTTCCAGCCCATTTTTCACCAAGATAAGAACAAAAGGAAGGATGGGAGAAAATAAGTTTTGCTGGGGTCACGAGAGACTAGCAGGTAGAGATGCCAGTGGACCACTGACCTGCAATCCCTGGGAAAGGGCCAGCGAGCAGCTTGAGAGTTGAGAGTATACAGAGCAGGAGGGGACCAAGAGTAGAATTGGGGGGGGTGAGCACTGGTATTTGGGGGCAAGGAAGAGCAGACGAAGAAGGGGCAGTTAGAGGTAGGAAAACCTAGGGGAGCCATGTTTCAGAAGCCAAGCTCAGTCACTTCTCTGCCAGAAGAGAACTGAACTGTTCAGAAATGAACTGGTGAGTGAGTAGGCTGGTTAGCCACGGAGAGGTGGATGAGGGCTGGCTGTGGCCTGGATAACTGGAATAAATGTCAGAGGTCCTTCTACCCATCTGAGATTTGCTTCTGAAGAGGGGTGCTGGTGTGGTAACACGCCTGAGAGCCGGCACCTCCTGAGCAGGGGGCGCCAGGACAGTGGAGCACCAGGGCCTCGCTTATTTGCCCTTTTCTCTCCTGTGTCCCTTCCACTCAGAGCCCCGAAGCCAGGACAGGAGACGGCGGCAGCAGCCACTGACCCTTCGCCCTACTTCAAGCATCCTGGCCCCGTCCCTAAATCCTGCTAGTTCTAGCCCGGCCTCCTCACCCAGCATGGGCTCCTGTCTGCTGCCCAGCTCACTCAGCATATCAGGTCTGTACCCATGGCCAGCGAGATCTGGGTGGGCCAGCCTCCTTCCTTCCCTACCACCGAGGGTATAGACCAGGCTCCCTGCTAGGCTTAAACCAGTCCCTTCAGCTCCCTTGCCACCTGACCTGGACTTCTTTCTTGACTTGATGTCATGCAGCCCTCTGCACAGCAGGGATTATCAGTTACCCTCCTGGATTACCCTAAACTCCTAAAGCACCTATGCCCTTGTACAGGAAGCTGGAAATTGTCTTTGTATAATAAAATAATAGTTACCATCTCTTGAGTGTCTACTATGTGGCAGGCACTGCTCTAAGCACATTACCTCACTTAATCCTCATTTTTAAAACTTAACAACCCGAGTACCTGCTACTTTGAGCTTCCTGACTCCAGCTTAGACAAAACTGAAGAATGAAAAAGACATAGGTCTTTCACCGGTCATCGGCAGCAAATGCTGTGTAACCCCATCATCCACAGAAAACCTAGGCCACCTGCTCTCCTTTTAAGTTATACCCCCAGCTCTGTAAAGGACTGGATGAGAAAGAGTCCTAAGACTCCAGCCCACCACCTTGTAACTCGCTCAGAGCCTGTAACTCCCAACCTGTCAACTGTCTTCAATGGGTAGCCCACAATCCACCAGTCTTGGGTACTTACTTGATCCTTAAACACTTACTCATTTGAATGGGACAGGCTCTTAGCTCTATAAATTCAGAGTGGCTCGGCTTGATGGGCTGTGATTCAAGATCCAAGCTGCCCCTCCAGCCCTTGGACCAGACTAGAGCATGCCGTGCTTTTCAACCAGGGGCCATTCTGCCCACTAGGGAACACGCGGCAAGGTCTGACGACATTTCTGGTTGTTACAGTGGAAGCGGGGCAGGGGAAGAAGAAATGCTACCCAGTGGGTAGAGGCCAGGAATGCTGCTTAACATTCTACAATGCACAAGACAGCCCCCCATAACAAAGAATTATCCAGCCCAAAATGTCAATATTGCCAATCCTGAGAAAACCCTGATCTAAAGGAAGCTACCCCCTCTTCTCTGTGGTCTCCTACCCTGATATGTTTCGTTTCCCAGGGAGCAGCTGCTCACTCCTGTCCTCAGGGGACAAGCCAGAGGCTGTCATGGTGATTGGGAAAGGGCTGCTAGGACCTCGAATCCCCTGTATCAGGACACGGTTGCAGGTAACATTTTTGGGTCTTCCCCAGCCCCTAGCGAAACAACCCTGGCAGAGCCCAGCAAGGCATTGTTCATCTCGGCAGTGGGAGGGAGAATGCTCAGTACTGCTTTCAGCCTCTCCCCTCAACCGTATCAGAAAGCTACTCTGGTACCTGAGTGCCTCCGTCTGTCCAGTGCCCCCAGTCCCTTCAGCCAGGTTTCTTGCTTGCTTCCAACCCATGTCCCTGCCAGATATACCCCAACCTCAGCCTGCTAGCTTTGGCTTTGCCGGCCCCTGCCCTTAGCTTCTCCTCTCTTTCTGCCCAGACCTGCCCGAAGAGAGTTCCCGCCAGGAGGGGTCCCGGATTCCCCAGGTAACACATCTGGTTGCTGCTCCTAAGAACAGCTGTACCACCAACTCCAGTTCAGTCCGGTCCCCATGCTAAGTTGGCTGAAGCTGGGTATAGGCAGAAACTGGATGGTTGAAACCACAGCTGCTCTGGCAGGGGCTGAGGCACACAAGGCTCTGAGGGAGATCTCCCAATTCTCCAGCTGCTTTCCACACACTGCTTCTCTATTTAGCCAGATGTTAGCCATGATACAACCATGGAGGTTAAATACTGGATCCTTTTGCCTCCCCTAGTTAATTAAGACTTGGAGTCATAGACTGAACCCAGGAATTCTCTATTATCCTGCCTTACCTTCTCAGCCAGGGACAGTGCCCAGAAATTCAAGGTCCCAATACCTATGTTGACCCCTATACTACATTCTTACGCATGGAAACTCTAGAAGCAAACCCAGAAGCAAAACAGTTCATGGAAGAATCCAGCCTCTTAGCCCACCCCGTATCCATACAGGCTAGGCCCAGGTTGGGCCGGGGCTCACCGCCGACTCGCAGAGGGATGAGCGGCTCTTCCGGCCCCACATCCCCTATACCCCGGACCAGGGAGAGCAGTGAGCCGGAGCCGGGACCCCACTCTGCACCAGGGTGAGCACCGGGTCCAGTCCCTGACCCCACCTCACTTCTATCCCTTCATTCCCATTTCTGCCGTTCAGGACCATTTTCTTCCTTCCCTACTCCCTCTGACTCCCAAAAGACTAAAGGTACTTTCATTAAGAATCTTGTCCCTGAATTTTTTCCCATCATGGCCTCAATCTTCCCTCCAAACAGACAAAAAAACAACTTCTTGTTAGGACCTAAGGCCTAGGAGCTGGCTCGTTCCAGCATCAGCCCACTGTGCAATGCTCAACCCCTCTATTCTTACCATCTCGCCTTCTCATCTCCCAGCCCCTGGCAAACAGACCAGAAGAGGGGCAGAGTTTTCACAACCCTGATTCCTCTCTCTTCTCTGTTGCAGGCTGCCTCAGGCCGGGCCCCCACGGCCCCACTCTGCCCCTGCCTTTTTTCCTATTTCTTGTAGTCTGTCTGATTCCCAGTCCCGGATTTGTTACAGCGGGGGGCCCTTGGGCCAACCTGAGGTTTGTTTTGTCCCTAAATCTCCCCCAATCACTATCTCTCCCCGGGTCTGATGCCTCAACCTTCATGCCCGGTATACAGTCCCAAGATGGGAACACAGTGGGGAATGTGCTAGTCCCCTCCCTCAGCTGTTGATTCCATGTGACAACCATAACTCCTTGGAATGCCAGCCACACTCTTCTGAGGCATCGCAGAGCATCACCTTGAGACAGGACAAAGCAGGAACCTGCTACCCCATCCCTCCCTCCACAGCACAAGATTTTGGGACCACAAAAAAAAATATATCTATATTTTTATATTGGGGGGAGGGAGTAGAAAAGAAACCCCTATACTGGGCCCTACTCAGTAACAGCTTCTTGTTCCATAGGGTTAAGGAAGACTTTGAGGAAATAAAAGTTGTTTGGAAAAATCCAGGTGTAGTTGCTTTGTATGCTGTGATGGGTAGAGGGATGAAGTGAAGTGTGAAGGCCCCTCATACCCTCCATCTTGCCTCAGACTATGTCCTGGAACCCTAGAAAAGAGGGGGAAAGACCCAAGGTAAGGAAAATGCTGCAGCTTTCCTCTGGGGAAATCTTTCAGGCATCAACTCCCATCCAGCCTGTCCCCCCTTTACATTTTTGACCCACACTTAAGGTTCCCCCACACCCCACCTTTCCGTAGGACTTGGGTCTCCAGTAACCAACCGCTAACTCAGTGCCCCTTGCCCCAGAACACGGAAATAGAATTCTACATCTTTACAACCACGCACACACACACAGGAACAAATTCAGCCTAAACAACCTTAGAGAAGTGAGAACTACTTAAGTGAAGAGCCCAAATCCTCATACTTGGATGGCATCCTCAGCGCCTTTATTCCTACCGGTGTCAGTGCCTCCTTGTAGCCAAACCCGCAACTTGGGCATGGGGGTACCATGAAGACGGGGGCTGAGGAAGATTAGGAAACTCACCCCCATTCTAGCAGGGAGCAGTTTAACGGGGAGAGGGCAGGGCACTGCAAGGCTCTCCCTACTGTGTGCGGATAAAGGGGCTCAGTTCTGGACTGTATCATGCTTGGCCCGACACTTTCTGATTTTAAGTTTCGAACCCTGCAGGCCCTGGCGCGGCCTCGCCACTCCACTCTCCGGGGGCTGGGCGCTAAGCCCCGGACCGTTACCTGGGGCGGAGAAAGCGCCACTTTCATTCCTGCTTCTTGGGATTGTTGACGGCCACGTAGTGATAGAGAACGACAAGCAGGAAGAGCGACACGCCCAGCATGTTGGCGAAGATGGCGAGCTGGACGTCTGTGATCATCCTGCGGAGAAGAGGAAGGACTGAGCCCGAGGCCCGCGCACTCCTCGCCCAGGCCGAGACCCGTCCTCGCCCCCAGGACCAGCCACCGCCGAAGCGCCGTGGAGCCCCCTTGCGTGCCTCTCACCTGATCAGCTGGGCTCCCCGCGATGCGGTCTGCGTACTAGCTGAAGGTAGGAGTCCCGGCCCGGAAGTCGGTAGCGCGAGCGCAAGCCCAAACCAGGCACTTCCGGCCTGCCGCTCGGTCGGAACGGGCTCTCTAGCCCCGCCGTCTCGCCTGCTCCCCGCGGCGCATCGTAAGGGGCGGGGTCTCGGGGGGGGGCCTGCGGAGGGACGGCCCCCCGTAGGGGGCGGGTGAGCCGCGGACGCGCGCCTAGGGCCGGCGGGAGGCAGCTGGCCGCAGCTGGCGCGGCGGGGGACCCAGCTGACCCATGGCCGCCTCCCCAGAGCCCAGCGGCGGGCGAGGGTGCGGCGGAGTGGCGGGGTGAGAGGCTCGGCCCGACCCCTAGACTCCGACCCCCTTTCCTGCCCTGGCCCCCCGCGTTGCTGCCCACCCTCCGCTTCCCGGCTCGGCCCAGCCAGGTGCTTCCTTTGAGCCCTGCCCTCAGGGTCCCCTCCCTGACCCCGGCAGCAGAGAGGGGGGTGAGAGGCGGTGCAGAATGGGGAGAGAGCTGGGGCGGCCGGGTGCTCCTCTCCTCGGCGCCCGCCTTTTTGCCCCACAGCAGCCAAGTGGAAGGATCCTGCCTGTGATCTGACCGGTGCCTCCCTAACTCGGGCTTCCTCCACCCCACCCCCGGAGGTGGGCGTCGGAAATAGGGCGGATCCTCCCGGAATCAAAACCCAAACCGTGGGACTTGAGCCAAGTGGGAAATCACCCCCCGGATGTGAGGGAGGGGGGCGGGGGGAAGGGCTGGGACGAGCAAGAGGGGTTAGTGGGTCCTGAGCAGAGTGGATCACTGAGGAGAAAGAAGACTGTGGGTAGATGTCTGAGGGTCTCTGGTGAGGGGAGAGGCACTGGAGCTCTACAGCCCTCTGCCGCAGGGAGATCCTACTCCCCCCTCACTGCTTGCTTTCGCTCAGCTTCACCATAAAAGGGAACGGCACAGAGCCAGGCTGGGGCCGGGGGCTGGGCTGTTGCTCTGGAGCTGTCAGGGGTAATGGAAGCCAGTTGCTTTGCGGTAGAGGGGGGCCCGGGCTCAGGGGACGCCTCTGCTTCTCTGAGCCAAGGAAAACTGCAGGAGCTGCTATGGGACTGCAACAGCTGGGGCAGAGGACTGTCTTGCTGCCCGTGTGCACCATGAGCCAGGGGTGCACTAGCTCAGAGCTGGCTTCCCTGGCCTGGGACCATCGGTTTGTCCTCCATGCTCCAGCCCAGTGACTCCTAAGCTCAGTCTCGGCCTTTAGCAGTCTGTAATTCCCCTGGCCTCCCCCATTTCACCCCCCAGCCTCCACCCAGTATTTCCCAGAAGTTTCCTATTTAGAATCTCAAGCCCATGTTCCCTCCACATAATAGTGAAACCCCAGGCGTGTACTTCCTCATGTGTCCCTCAGAGAGTGGTCTGTTCCCAGCTCTGCTGTGGGAGAATGAGGGTCTGGGTCTTAAAGGATTACACACATTATGCTTTGTGGCTCCTGGAAATTTGAAGCAGATCCAAATCCAACCAGACACTTAGATCTACTGTTAAGACAGAACTAGACCCTGGAAAGCCGACTTTCTAGCCTGCAAATGACATGGGGGGAGGCCTTGGAAGTGCTTCAGATTTCCAAGGCAGTCCTGAAACAACTGACCGGAGACTTTCAGAGCTAAAGGGGGCCTTCAAGATCATTTTACGAAGAAGGAAACTGAGGCCCAGAAGGTAATTGATTTGACCAGGATTCTACGAATGGTTTGAAATCGTCACCTGAGCCGCTTTCCTTTATTCTACTCTCCATGTCCGACTGTGGGCTCGATGGGTTATCCTGGGGTCAGGGACAAGAGGAAAGGGGTTTTAGAACCATCCAGAAATATCCTTCACCTCCCAGAACGTGCTGTGCCTAGGCCAGTGACTCCTTATCAGCCTTGACGAGGTCATTTGGCCTCCTGCCTGGAGGAGCTGAAATTAAAAATGGTCCCCAGGACTAAACTAGACTCAGCTAAGAACTAACAAAGCTTGAAAAAAGCTTGGGTGGAAAAAGTATGTGGGAAGTGAGACAGGCAAAGCCTCACCCTTGGGGGAATTGGAAGACACGAGAATTTGGGGGAGGGGCATATGTGGAGTTTAATCTCTGCAATTAGTGTGACATTTTCAAGGAGAAGACATGAGTTTAGGATTAGGCTAAGGAGTGAAAAAGCAACAAGAACCAGGAAAGGGGCCTGGGCCCTGAGTCCAGAGAGGTTGGCTCTTAAAGTAGTATACCTGGGGGAAGGGGTGGAAGGAAAAGGAAAATGTGCATTTGAGCAGGAGTGGACACGGTCCTCTCAGGATTGAAATCCCATCTACGCTTTGCATAAACCAAGGCCCGATTCCTATTATTCTCCATTTTTTCCCTCCCAACATTCAGTCCTCTGACAGAGGGCATTAGACATGAAATGCTCCTTACCGCAGGTGCCCCCGGTGATCCCAGCCTCTGCACATGAGCTCCTTGCTCAGCCGCTGGTGGCTGACCGGAAGTGTTAGTTGCCCAGTATAGCCAAGATTTCCCATTGGCCCTAGACCCTTGACAATCCCCTATCTTGGAAAGGTTATAAAGTAGATCTCGTCCTAGTGCCCCTAAGGACTTGGCCATTTTTGATCTCGGGAATTCTCTTGCCAGTCGCTTTGGAAATTTGTGGCTACTCGTCAATACCACCGCCACCACCCGTGCATTTTCTCTAATCTTCGTCTCCATTGTGGCCTGCTTGCCCAACACCTCAGGCCTCCCCAGTGAACCCAGAGCCACCGATTTATTTGAGGTATCACAAACATTCATGTCAGCCCTCAGGTCTTGGCTCCTGATTACAGGACTGAATGAAATGCAACCTACTGCAATGGTATTTTAAAGCCAACATTTTTGGCTTGACACACTTAAAATACAACAGAGTTTTAGTATATGTGCTGCTGAAGCAAGCACGAAATACAACAGAGTTTTAAACTTAAGGGAGGCACCCATTTAAACTTAAGGAATGAGTGACAACCAGGCAGTGACTAGATAGCTGGGATGACTTTTCAGGTTGTCAGAGGCCCCCCGAAGGGAGAGAGCGGGGCAAGTACTGAGAAAGAAAACTGCAGCAGCCAGGGCAACCTGCAGTGGGTTGGTTTACTGCCAGGGCCAGGGCCAGGGCCTAGAACCGATGCAGAGACCAGGGACAACGCTGCAACCTTCCACTGACAGCAGCTCTCAGATCAGGATCTCCTGGGACTGTTTCCTTCAAGTCTTCCCGTGTGCCAATCCCCACACTCCTATGGGGCAGCTGCAAATTTCCGTTTCTGTGGATTCCAGCATTCGCTTTCACCATCCTTTCTTTTTGCCAACATTTCTCCCAGCCACCAAGATCACATACTGGGCCAGAGGACCTCAGAGGCAGGTCACACAGAGTCACATTAAAGATTTGGTGGCATCCTTTTTCATGGCTTCCAACTATTGCCCTGCACATGGTTCCCAGAAGCAAGACCCACATCTCTGACCGTCTCCTGGATACTTACTGCCACCCAGCTATGTTACTCTCATCTGAAACTCAGTATGTCCAGACTAAGGTCGTCTTTTTCCAAAGCTGTTCCTCATCTCAACTTCCCCATCCCGGCTCCAACCCCAGAATCTTCTGTGATGCCTCCCTTCCTCTGGCCTCATTACTCGGGCAGTCCCCAAGCAACCACAGCCTTCTCTTTCCAGGCTGCATCACTCTGCAGTGTAGAATGTCGAAGGCACCCCAGACAGTAGCCAACAGACCTCCGGCGGAGTCGTGGCATTGGTTTCTCGGTGATAACACAACGTAAGGGAGGAGGTAGAACCAGCGTCCTTGTGGCCTGAAACCCTGTCCATTGCTCTTGCCCACCATGTCTTCTTTCTGAAGGCCTACCGAGCTCCCACTCAAAAACTTGTAATCCAAGCTCTTAACCAGTCCTCTGGGCCTCTCCCCGATTTTTCCACAATTGACTTCTCTGACTTTCTGTCCCACTTCTTCCTGACACAAATAAGAGCCCTTACTAAGCATTTACCATGTGCCAGGCACTATTCTAAATGCTTTATGTGTATTAACTTAATCCTCACAAACTTAGGAAGGAGGGTGCTGTTATGATTCCCATGTTGAGGAATGAGGAAACTGAGGCAGGCCTCTTTCCCCAGTCTGCAATCTCTCCCCTCCCCCATCTCTGTGCTTCACTTTTTTCCCCCAACACTGTTCAGCCTCTCTCTCTCTTCCAACGGCCCTCCTCTGAGCCCCCCCGAGCATCCAGCTGTCTTTCCCCTCCCCTTGCTCAGAACACATCACCCACTCGTCTGGCCCCCGTGGCATGCCGTCTGTCCTGCTTTGTGTTGGTTGCTTCGGTGCCTGTGTGCCGTTCCCCAGCGGTCCCAGGCGCTCCTTCCAGAGTGTCACACAGGCCTTTGCTCCCCGGGCACCTCCACGGAGCCTCCACACAGCACGCTCACCTCCCTTCTGTCTGGTACTTCTGCTTCGCTCTCGCGAGCCAGCGCCGCACCACACGGGGACACCTAGGCCTGAGTACCGTGTTGAGGCCAGATGGTGAAGGCGGGGGCCAGCTGACAGATTCGGACTCCTCTCAAGAAGAGCTTTCGGGTCAGGCTGGTGGTTGAGCGTGACTGAGTTCCTTGCCTGCTGCAGAGGCCTTCAAGGCTTGCCTCCAGGCTGGGGAAGGACTTCCTTTGGGCTCCATAGATATAGATACCACCCGGTCTGCCTCGCTCCTTCAACTCCCCCACTTACGGCCTGACCTTCACCAAGACAAGCCTGAAACCATACTCATTTGGTTTTTTTGAGAATGAGTCTTTCTCCTCTTGCCCATGTCCTCTCCATGCCTGACAGGAGGCTGCGCCCTCGTTTCCAGATTCCTTTCTTCCTCTTCCAGTTTCTCCAAGTGTCCTGCCTGCCTCAGTGGAGTCCTCTTCCGTCTCCCCCCCGGCCCAGCAGCCCTCTCTCCTCACCTCCTTCTTTGTCCCAGGTCACTGACCTAGGTACGGAGATCCTAATCAGAGCCCTGCTCTTGGCTGGCCCGGACAGGTTACTCTCCAGCGCGGGGCCTCGTTGTTCACATCTGTCAAAGGAGGCAGCTGGACTAGGTAGTGAGTGATGTCCTGCTGGAGCCCTACGAGTTCATTCTCCCTTTTACAGTCTTCCCCTCCTCCTCTCCCCTCCTGGCTCCCCTCTCGGGTCTTCTCTCCCCGGGGAGGCTTGCCCTAGCCCCGGGGGAGCTGTGGCCCCAGCTCCCGGTCCCTGTCTAGGCAAGCAGCCCTGGGCCTCCTCCCCAGCCCTGGCCCCGGCTCCACTCCATGTGGCCCGTCTGAGAGGCTGGCCCCAAGCCTGGCGGCAACTCCACATTTCTCTGTTTTTCCTTTTTTTTCCCTCTCTTTCCCGGAGTTAACAAGAAGCAGATGTGGCGCACGATGGTTGGAGAGGTGGGGGGAGGAAGGGGGAGGCTGGACCGCCAGCCAGACAGGGGGGAAGGGAGTGAGCAAGAGAGGGAGGCGGGAGGCCAGGGCCCGCCCCACAGCCACTCTTGCGCCTCTCAACAGCCACAGGGGCAAAGCCCTGTCACCTCCAGGATCCGGTCATTGGGGAAAACAGATAGGGAGACCAGAGGAGGGCCAGCTGGGGCGAGGGGGTGGAGGCCCAGGAAGCAGCATCTGAGAGGGGCAGGGACCAGGCACAGGAGGCCAGGGGGCACAGAGAACAAACTCCCCTCAGAAGTGGAGAATAGGAGAGCGGAAGGAACCAAGGGAGGGACGGACAGGAGCCTGAGGAGGAAAGAGGAGGGGGAGAGGGGTCAGGCCAGGCGGCCGAGAAGGAGGCGTGTGGCTGGGGGCTGCCGCAGGAAGCTGGGGACAGGCACCGGCCAGCGCTGTCCCTTGGAGCAGCGGCATCCCCTACGGCAGACAGAGGCGCCAGCGGTCAGGCCGGGATGTGCCTCTGAGGGCCACCGCGGAGCGCCCCCACCATGGCCCCCGGCACCCTCTGGAGCTGCTACCTCTGCTGCTTGCTGACCACAGCCGTGGGGGCAGCTAGCTACCCTCCCCGCGGTTATAGCCTCTACACGGGGGCCGGGGGGGCCCTCAGCCCTGGGGAACCCCAGGCCCAGAGCGGCCCCCGGCCTGCCAGCCGCCACAGGTAAGAGTCTGGGTCCCAGCCCAAGGCTGGACGTGGGTGGGAGGGTGGGTCAGAAGGGGGCTATCCTGGCCCCCACCTTGGCTACCCTCCCCGGGGCTGTATGCCCTAATGCGGGGAAGAGGGGGAGAGGAAGCCCAGCCATCAGGTGGCTCCGCACAAGCCCACCTTCCTGCAGAGCATTTCTAGGGCCCCCTAAATAGATAGGTCCCCCTCTAAACTCAGGGAGACCTGTAGTTGGGTGCCCAGGGAAACGACCCTGAGGGTCCTGGGCCAGGCCTTCCTGCAAGCTGCCGGCTGCGTACCAGCCTGGTGTCCTCCGGCAGACCTTTCTTTATCCCTTCCTCGGGCTTCATGGGCCCATCCAGTGATCTGTGATTCTTTCTTGACACCACTCCTGCTCTGTTCAGTTGGGCTCTCCAGCCGGACACAGATCAAAGGCCAGCTTGAATGGGGCCAAGAGTGTAGAACGCAAGCCCCAAAGAGGGCAGGGCTCATCAATGGCTTATTCTCTACTTAACCCTGAGCTGGACCCCTGCCTGCCCTGTCCTCTCCCCTGAGGGGTGGGTGGAAGCCAGCATCCAGGGGATCCCCAGAGGGACCCAGCCAGCTGGCTCAGACAGGCCACGCCAAGCTGGGGATTGACACAGAAAGGGACATGAATGAATGTGTGAATTCAGAGGCTCCCTAGGACCCCCCAGCCTTGAGGATTGACTTCTTATAGTTACGGTTTTCCATTCTGTGCCTCCTCTCGCGGTCTTGAAAAGTCCTTACCGACTCCCACTGCTCAGGAAGGCGTGGGGGCAGCTGCCCCTGCCAAAGCCCTGGCTCCCACTGGTCCCCGGGGGCCCTGCATCTTTTAACCCTCCCTCAGCCCCTCTGGTAGCCCCTGGGTCCTCCTCTGGGGCTTGTGTCTCTGGCCCTTGGGCCCAGGTGGGGTTGTGCCTACAGGAACTGGTGTGCCTATGTGGTGACCCGGACAGTGAGCTGTGTCCTTGAGGATGGAGTGGAGACCTTCGTCAAGCCTGACTACCAGCCCTGTGGCTGGGGCCAGCCCCAGTGTCCCCGCAGCATCATGTGAGCTCCAGCGCTGGGGAGTGGGTACTTGGTGGGGGCTGGGCTAGGGCAGAAGGAGGGCAGCCAACTCAGGGAATTTCTGCAAAGCAGGTAGCCAGGGACAGGACCAGGGCCTTCAGTCAGAGCCATTTTGAGATGACACCGAGGCAACAGTTTGGGGCGGATACTGAGGGCAAAGTCACCCGGACCACCCCACCAGGCCCCAGATGCCTTCTCTGGGCTGTCAGGCTCAAAATGAGGAGTTCGAGGTTCCAGCAGAAGATAGGGGGAGGAAGAACAGGGATTTGGCCTTTGGCCAGCAAGCTGACAGCTGTCAACTGAGCACGGCCACATGCCGGACAGTAAGGGGGACTCAGCCTGAGGGACAGGCCTTGTCCACCACCAGCAGCTGCCCATCTCTGAGGACATGACCCAGGGTCGCTGCCAGTACAGGGAGGAGTAAAGAGGCCTCCCTCTGCCTCTCCCAGGTACCGCAGCTTCCTCCGCCCTCGCTACCGAGTGGCCTACAAGACCGTAACGGATATGGAGTGGAGGTGCTGTCAGGGGTATGGGGGCGATGACTGTGCTGAGGGTCCCGCCCCGCCGCTGGGTCCTGCACCTACCACACCACGGCCCCGGCCCCGGCCCGCCCGCCCCAACCTCTCTGGCTCCAGTGCAGGAAGCCACCTGAGTGGACTAGGTGGGGAAGGTGAGTATGGGAGCCACTGGGGAGAGAAGTGGGAGCTGGTGCTGGCTGGAAAATGTGGGGCCAGGCTGCCAAGGGTGAGAGCTCCATGCTCCAAGTCAGAAGAAGGGGACAGAAGGGAGTAAGTGAGACCCCTGAGATTCTCTGCCTGTGCGTCCACTGTGTGTGTGTGTGTGTAGTGTGTGTGTGTAGTGTGTGTGTGTGTAGTGTGAGTGTGTGTGTAGTGTGTGTGT